CTAAGCTCTTGCTTCCTTCTTCAGGTAATGGAGTGGATAAGGCAAACTCTTATGGAGAAACTGAGAGACTACACCCTCCCCCCCCCCTTACTCTAATACCAGCTAATCTGGAATTCACTATGGAGACCAGCCTGACCTGGAACTCACAGGTTTACTCTGCCTTCTTAGTGCTGGGATTAAAAACATGTGCCATTAGACCCAACTGTTTGATTTTTTAGTTAAATATTATTGTATTTTATGTGTATGGGTATTTTGCCAGCTTGTATGTCTGGGTACCACCTGTGTGCAATGCCCATGGAGGCCAGAAAGGGGCATCAGATCCCCTGGAACTAGAGTTACAGATGATTGTGAGCTACCATGTAGGCACTCTGCAAACGCAATCAGTGTTCTTAACTGCGAGCCATCCCTCCAGCCCCACTCCCACCCCACCCCAGCCCCAGTTATCTGTAGCTAAGGCTGGCCTTGAACTTTCTACACCTTGAACTTCTTATCCTCCTGCCTCTGACTACCAAGTACCACCACACCTGGTTTGTAGAGCACTAGTGACTGGACCTTGGGCTTTGTGCCTGCTTCACCCTCCAGTAGCCCATTGTAGAGAGCCACACCCACAGCCCAGTGTAGAGAGCCACACCCACAGCCCAGTGTAGAGAGCCACACCCACAGCCCAGTGTAGAGAGCCACACCCACAGCCCAGTGTAGAGAGCCACACCCACAGCCCCCTGTAGAGAGCCACACCCACAGCCCAGAGTACAGAGCCACACCCACAGCCCAGTGTACAGAGCCACACCCACAGCCCAGTGTACAGAGCCACACCCACAGCGCAGTATAGAGAATTTGAATGGCTTATTCTAGATCATGGAGTCCAGAGGAGTAATGCCAAGATGAAAGTCTCAGCAAAACAGATCTCTGCCACTTTCTGGAAGCAGCCACTGAAAGTCAGTCACACAGAGTGAAGCACAAACTCCAGCCTTCGCAAAATCCACCCTGCTTTTCAAGGGTTCAACTTGAGTGACATCAATGCCTGACCTTTTTCTCGGGACCCCACGGTCCCCTTTGCTCTCTTTCTTCCCTGGGCAGTGATCAACACTCAAAGCCGTAGAGACCTCGAGGAAACTGCAAGACTCCAGAGTCTTCACAGTAACCTTCCCCCTATGGGTCAAAACCTGCCTGTGTCTTCATGCCCTACAGTTCGCAGGTCTGTGGCAGGGCCTGGGAATCTGCACTTCAGGGAGGCTGAGGCTGGGGTCCAGGGCTCACACTGCGGTAAAGAGGCTACAGGAAGGCTGGGCACACTCAATCTCCCCTCCTTCACTCCTCACCGTTCTAAGGTTCTGTCCTCTTGGCACAGAAAAAGGGGTGCAGGTTGCAGGCAGGAGGCGCTAGACACTGGCCCATCCAGGCTCCAGTGTGCTTACCTCATGGCAGAGGGGTCCAAGAAGCCATGTGAAAAGCTGAAGAGCCCTTTGCTGCCGGCCTTCTCCTCTCCTCTCCCCTCCAGGGGCTGCCTCTGACCTGCAGCTCTCATTGAAATTTTGCCCTCTGCGGAAAGCTCATCCCTATTCATTTTCCTCATGCACTTAGAGCCAATAGGTTTTTATTTATTCATTTATCTTGTCTTTTATTCCCCTCCCCTTCCTCACCAGGCTGGAATTTACAATTCAGTTCTCCAGTGGCCTTGCTGAAGGACAGGCACCTGGGAGAGCAAGGGCTGCACCCTGGGACTGAAAAGGGCAACTGCTCCTTTGTCCCCTCTTTACTCTAGGGGTGTTCCAGGGTTCATGGTTTGGTTGTCTGGGTGCTGGTTCAGGCAGGCCCGCACCTGTAGCAGCAGGATTGCCAGAGAGCATGGCTTAGAAGACCAAGAGGGCACTGGGTGGTCTGGCTGCCACCAGGGTGCCCTCTGGTGGCTAGTTAGCCACAGCTGCTCTGGCTGAGGGCATTTACAGTCCCCGCGCATTCATCTACTACCTGCCGCCTGTAGACGAGAGAGAAATGCAGACTGTGATGTGGTCAAGGCTGGAGAAAGCAATGAGCTCCAGGGAAGCAGAGAAACCCAGGAAGCCGCCGCGGGAGTAATAACAATGGTTGACGTAAGGTAATTACTCGGCCGTAGCACACTCCGCTGTGCTTGCTCGCTCACGCCTGGCCCAGCTGTCTCCCTGCCAGCACAGCGACACACCTACGTGATCCTTTTTTTTTTACCAAAACAGGAAGGAAACCCAGGCTCTGCGAGGTCAGCAGGCTCAGAGAGGGAAGTCAGGCACCCTGGTGGGTGAGCGTGTGCTCTGGCCACAGATGAGTTTCTGCCTTGCCTGCTGAGCTTCTTGACCTTGGCAGGACTTAGGCAATCTTTCTAATCCTGAAAAAGGGATTAGACCGGGTTTTACCTCGGGGTGCCCTCAAAATGGTTCAACGACACGTGCCTGTGGCCTGCCCTGGATCCGCACAGGAAGGGCCTCAGTAAAAAGCAGTTCTGGGGTTCTCATACAGACTGGGTGTGATGGCCACCTCCCTGCAGAAGCCAGCACCTTCAGACGGCTCTTCTCTGTTTACCCCTATGGCATTCCGTTTGCCTTGGTCTCACTTTTGTAATCAAAGTCAAAGTTGTATCTGCCTGCCATGGGACAGTGACGTCATTCAGACAAGTGCTAAGATGCAGAGTTCTCAGCCACACCGGGTTCCTCTCCCTATCCAGACCCCAGAGCTCAGATGTCGAGTTCTCAGCCACACCAGGTTTCTTTCCTCATCCAGACCCCAGAGCTCAGATGCCAAGTTCTTAGCCACACTGGGATCCTCTCCTCATCCAGACCCCAGAGCTCAGATGCCGAGTTTTCAGCCACACCAGGTTCCTCTCCCCATCCAGACCCCAGAGCTTAACCAACATCAAGACCTGAAGGGATCACCGGCTAGGACAGAGCCCCGGACTTGCCTCTGGTAGACATCTGTAGCACTTACGCCCTTGAGTAGAAGCCCGTTCTGTGAATTGCCCCCAACCCTGGCAATGATTAATATTTAAAAGACAAAATCATGTTGAGACTCTGCCTAGCAAATGTGTGGTTGGAGCCGTTCCCACGGGAGCTGCGATGCGGACTCAGAATGGGCTTCGCTATGGCCTCAGCCTTGACTTTCAGGGCTCTGGACCCTTTGCCTATCTTAAGCCAGTGTGGTCTTTCGGTGCTCAACAATGTCCACACACAAGCCAGTCTTGGCTCCCAGCCATGAGCTGTCTTCTCTCTTCCTCCTTCCCTCCCGTCCTCCCTCCCTCCCCTTCTCCAAGCTGGCCCAGGCCCAGCCACCACCCACAGTGACAGCCTTATCACCATTGACAAGTGGGAATCTACCTTCTTGGGCTAGCTGCTCTGTGCTGTGACTGAAGCCGCCCCAAGGGACTTAGGCATTTTCAGGAGCCTGGGCTGGGGACAGCAGGTTGACTGCGCAATAAGCTCAGCTTTCCCCCAAGGACACTCAGAGGCACCAGCAGCCTTCAGGGGGACACTGAACCCCTCCTGCCAGCTCCAGGAGGGAGCTCTGCCCAGCCTCCAGCAGGGACAGGCCTGCTGTGTGCTGGAGGTTCAGCTTAATTCGGCAGCTTCACCGCTTTCTGCCGTGTGACCTTGGCCAAGGGCTTTCAACCCCGCTGTCTCAGTTTCCCTATCTGTATGACCAGAATGACCAGACATCGGGGACACCTTCTCTGGGTTCAATCTGATTTTGAACGACATGTATCCTTTGCGCCATTGACCCCTTAAAACCACCCCCAGCGTACTCTATTAATGCACCCATTCTACAGCTGACAGAGCAGAAACCCGGAGGGACACTAGTGACACTGCCATTCAAATGTCCTGACTTTGTCCAAGGTAGAGTCAGCCTGGTGGAGCCCAGGGAGAAACCCTATAGAAGAGCAGGCTTTGGCTCTCAACCCCACATTCCTGGAGCTTTTGTCAAACTCTGCTATCACCATCACCCCTGTTACCACTGCCTCAACACTGAGACTCCCGCTAGCTTCAAGACCCCTTCTTCTCTAACTAGGGGCTCGGATGACAAGGCCTGAGCACCTGCCTCTTGACGAGGGGACAGCACTGGCTGGGGTGCTGGTCGCCTCTATCCAACCTGATCCCCCATCCCTGCTTTAAGAATTCCTTCTAAGACTACCAGAAACTGTCCTCTGAGAGATGCCTAGTCGGTTCTTGACATGAGCTGGCAACATGATGCTCTGCACTTGACTGGACTGGGCAAGCTGGGCGGGTGCACCACTGAAGGGGGGAACCCATGCAGGGGGTGTGTAAGCTGGGAGGGTGCACCACTGGAGAAGGGAACCCATGGAGGGGGGTGTGTAAGCTGAGAGGGTATACCACTGGAGGAGGAACCCATGGAGGGGGGTGTGTAAGCTGAGAGGGTGCACCACTGGAGGGGGAACCCATGGAGGGGGGTGTGTAAGCTGGGAGGGTGTACCACTGGAGGAGGAACCCATGGAGGGGGGTGTGTAAGCTGGGAGGGTGTACCACTGGAGGAGGAACCCATGGAGTGGGGTGTGTAAGCTGGGAGGGTGTACCACTTGAGAGGGGAACCCATGCAGGGGAGTGTGTGTAAGCTGGGAGGGTGCACCACTGGAGGGGGGAGCCCATGCAGGGGGATGTAAGCTGAGAGGGTGCACCACTGGAGGGTGTGTAACCTTGCAAATAACACCCAGATCACTGGTCTGACCGCTGACCTCCTGCAAAGGAGGCGGGACTGGCTTTGAGACAGGGAACTATGACAACTGTGCAGTCCCTGGTAGGAAAACATGCCAGGGTCAGCCAGCCAAGACACTTCCACCCACAAAATGTCACTCAACCCCCAGGGTCCTCAAGACAACTTGGCTTTGGCGCCTTTCCATGGTGGGACTTAGAGCTAGGCTTGAATCAAGGCCCTCTGGTTCTGCTCAGCCACCCCAGAGCCTTTCTCAGCACACATTCCCCAACCCCTCGATTCAGTAATAGAGAAGCAGAGGGCTGACTTACGTGGGAGCAGAACCTTTCAGGGGGGTCTCCGCAAGTGATGCCCGAGGGCTCCACTTTCACCTTGACATAATCCTTCAGGCGCATCACTTTGGGCTGGCAGGCATAGAACTCCCAGGAGGGGCCCTCATCGGTGGTCACCCAGGATTTGCAGATGTCATAGTCCCCAGAGGCCATCGGAAGGCAGTGCAGGAAGAGGGCCAGCAGGTGCAGCATGGCTGCGCAGTCAGACTGGGTGGGGCCCAGAGGGGCACTGGAGAGGTGATGGAGGGGTCAGGGGGGACTTGGGGCTTCAGCATGGAAATGCCACATCTACCAGGCAACGGCGGCGGGGATGTATCATAGACTTGAGCACTGCGGGTTTGCCAACCGTGGGAGCTTGTGTTTTCCAAATGGCCGATACGGAAAATCCAGAGCCAGCGTTTCTCAGGCTGCTGATGGGCAGATCAAAAAGTTGCCTGGAACTTGGCGTCCTCCTAACCTTGGCATTACACCTCCCCTGGAGGTGAAGCTGATCAAATCAGGCAGACTCTCAAATTGTGACAGTGGATGGAAATGGGATAAGGAGGCAATCCGAAGGGATCTGGCATGGGGCTGGATCGGATTGCTTTTAATTTTTGTCCTTCCAATCAATCCAGGTCTTTAAAGGGCCCTTAATATGTGATGCGCTCAACACGACTGCATAGCAGCCCTCCAGCCTGCGTGGTGAAAAGAAGAGAAAATCAGGAGGTGTGCATGGTGGCTGGAAACGAGTCCCCTCTTTGGGACTGGACTTGGCATCTCAGGCCAATAAAAGAGATTTCTTTTCATACGGGCTGCAAGTGACAACGATTGTGTGACCAGACTAGAAAATACAAAAGGCACTGAGGTGTTAACAGGAGAGGCCATTTGCCTCTGCTTTGGTGGGGGACAGGCACGTATGGGGGCCGGCTGACCTTGGCTAGTAGCCATTGGCCACTTATTGGGAAATTCCTGAGACTTCAGCTCCAGCTCCATCCAGGTACCTGGGCTTGGGCTTCCATTGTAAAGGGAGAAGAGAGAGACTGGGTTCATTAGCAGCAACACCTGCAACAAATTAAAAGGGGGGTGGGTGGGTTAGAGACATATAAGAACAAAAGCTCTCTAGCAAAAGGGCGCGCGCGCGCACACACACACACACACACACACACACACACACACACAAAAATAGGTTGCTTTGGCGAGGTCTCCAGAGAAAGCTCGGCTGTTTTTTTTTTAATTAATATTGGAGTCACAGGTTTAAAGACGGACACGCTATGGAAAAGGTAGTGCTCCTCCTCCTCATTGGTGAGGGTGTTTGTTCAGTGCCCCTTCTTGAGCATCAGCTTTCCAAACCATCCTCAAGGGCCAACCAACGTGTAATGGTTGCTGTAACACACTAGGCTGGACCAGTTAAAATGTCCAGGTTGTTAATGCAGGCCATGAGCATCCAACAGAGGAAACTGCTCCTACTGCTATAGCCCAATAGGGAGGTCTCTGTGTGGGCCACCAGCAGTCCGCTACCCAGACACCCGCACAATGTGAGACCATGAATTAAATGAATGAACTGCCAGAAACTGGGATGCTTAGAGTTTCCCCGGGAATCAAAGCGTTTTGTTGTGTTAAGTTTTCTGACCAAGGCCAACAGTTTGCAATCACTTTGGGGAGGCAACAGCTATTTTAAGCCCGCAGTAATCATTTAAAAGCTAAAATAAATATAGCTAATAGGAGTACTGCGACCAGAAACATATGACTCTCAGCCTCTACTGTAGTCCCAGGCATTTGCCGCATCATGGATGAATCTGAGTCCGACAGCATGAGATCCCCGCCAAAAATAATCTTTGCCAATAGGGCAAAGGTTATTGCAATGGCTGTGGCAAATAAATAAATAAATAAATAACGTCCATGTTATTAATTATTCTGTTTATAGTGCCCACAGTTGCTGCATTTAAATCTCCAAACCTCACATATGGTGGCCTGACTCTCACCTGAAGCCCTTGTCAGCCACTGTATACTGAAAGTCCCAGAGGAGTTAACTGTCCTGACGGCTGGGGACAGGATGACCAGAGAGTCAGGCTGCTGGCTCTCAAAGCACGAAACACTGTTATCCAGACACAAGTACATTCCTGCCCCCAAACGACAAAGGGGTGCGTTTTGGTCTAGCCTTACTGCTGAGAGCGCCTTGCTCAGGGGAAGCCCCTCCGTCAGTAATCAGCTTCAGGCTGCAGTGGGCCTCATCCATCTAGGTTAAGACAGCCCCTGCCCCCTCTTGGGATGAAGGACTCCTAATCCAGATGAATGAGAACCCAGCCAGACCACACTTCACACCTCCTCCAACCGACCGTTTAAATAGAAACCTGCTCTAGACCCCGCCCGGGCTCGCTTCTTGCTAGAAAACTCTCTGGAAGAACGTGACCAAGCGTCTATTTTTTTTTTATCCTGAGAAAAATGTAGTAAAAATAAAATAGCACAGGCCCGGCAATGGTTTGGATGTTTCCAGCCAAGCTCTGAGCTGCCCAGAAAACAGCATGCCCCTAATTAATTCTTCCAGCAGCCGGCTCCCGACTGTTCACTAACAGGTAGGGCGCTCCTGACGGCTAGGGACGGCCAGGGAGCCTGGCTGCGGCTCTCAAGGCGGGCCCAGCTGCCGGCTTCATCTGCAGGGCCAGCGGCTGCTCCTGACTGGGACAGCGCTGGATTGTGGCCCGGGTGGGGAGGCAACGAGGCCCTGAGGCCGGAGTCCCAGCGAGCAGCAAGCGGCGCAACTCGCAAATCTATTAATTGCTTTGTAGTTTTGTTGGCTTAAGCATCACACATTCCCTAGAAAATGGGGGTGGGGAAAACAACAACAAAATCTGCCAGGGGAAAATGTGTTTACAGCCCGTCAATCATTTGGGCGTTGCTGGCATCGAGGGGGCACTGTGAGCTCAGCACTCGAAAATTACAGTAGATTTTTGCCAAAAAGAAAATAAGGGGCGGGGGAACTAGGCAAGAGTTACGCGGAAAAACGAGGTAGATAGCAGAGAGCGAGGAGCCAGCAGGGGAGAAATTGAGAGTAAGAGGTTGCATCCTCGCGGATCGTTTTCTCCTTGGAAAATAAATCTTCACCTGATATTATTAAGAAACTGCAGCTCTCTGAAACAAATGGAATCAATGCGCTTTATTTTCTTTTAAGAGTCCTCAGGAACCGAGGGGGGCTGATAGCCTGGGTATTAAAACCCGAAAATTAGATTTTATCAGGATTTCTGAACTCAGATTTCTCTGTCTTATTGAATTAGCGCCTTTCGGAGCTGCCCGGGCTGCCAACAGGCTCCTGCCGGAGTCTCGGCTGCGCGCTCTCCTAGTCGGAAACTTGCCTCTGCGGGACGCAGGGTCCCTGGGGATCGGGGGTGGGCTGGTGACCTGGGGGAGGTTTATTCTTTCACCCAGGCTGGACAAAAGGTAGAAAGGGTGTGTGAAACTTGCTTTGGAGGCCGAAGAAGGGATCGGGAAGAAAAGGAGAGCCCCACGGCCCGCGATTACCTTCCCCTCCACCCCCACCGCACCCCGCCTTGGGCTGCCCCGCGCTCACCGCTGCCTTGGTGGACGTCCGGGTTCAGATGTCCCGGTGGCCCCAGCTCTGGGAAAGGAGCTTTCTCCAGACCTCTGGTTTCTCCCTGACGCCCTCTAAGAGGCTAGGGAACCCCGAAAAGTTGGGCTCTTGGGGGCGGGGCAGAGCACCCGGCTCTAGGACGCGTGGCTGAGGCCGCCGCGGGTAAGTCCCCGAGGACGGGCGGGGCTAGCTTGCGACCCGCAGACACCCAGGAGCCTGGCTGAGACCGTACTGAGCTTGGGGCGCGTAGACAGTGGCGTGCACTGCACACGGAGCTGCATTTTGCTTTTCTGAAGTTCGGTGCAAACCGCAGGCACAATTAATAATCACGCCTTTAATAAAGGCCAGGCCAGCATCCAGGCTGGCCCCTCATTTGATATCGTCTCCCTTAATTAAAAGACGCCGAGCAAAGCTCCTTGAAATTATTTGCACTCTTTTGCCCGGCGCCTGCTGCTCCGCGAGGACCCTGACGCCGCTACCCCCCAGACGGTATCCGCAACTTACTCCAAAGCGGGCGGACTCCCGCTCCCGCCTTTCCTCTGCCTCTGCTCCCTTTAGAGTGCGACTTCATACTGTGATGGAGCCCCCTCTCCACCCGCCGAACCCCTCCACAGCACCAAAGGAAGTTTTTAGCCTGCCTGGCCAAGAGTTCTCTGTGCGCCTTTAGAGCCCCGAGGAGACTTAAATTAGGGAGGGGGAAAGGCGGCGAAGAAGGGTTAATTTACTTTTCATAAACACAAGTAAGCAAGTGTTCTTGTAACGGTCCATCCTCTCCCCACACAGGTGCACAGGATGGAAAAAGATGGACTGGGTGGCAGGGAGCCCAGAGGGAAGCTACACTACTTTTTAAAGATGCTGCACTGGGCGCGCGCACACACCCCTCTTCCGCGGCTCCAGCCTTCTGCTAGTAGCAGCCGCCACCAAATAACTTTGCATCCTAGCCTCGGCTGGGTAGCCTGGAGTGACTCCCCGGCCCAGGGAGAACTAGCACCGTCACCTAAGCCTTTTCAAAATGAAAGTACCCTGGTTGAAGCCGCGGCGCCTCCATCCCCGCCCGCCGCCCCGGCACTCCCCGCTCGCCTTACCCCGGCTCGGAGCAGCTTCCCGGAGCGAGCCCCGAGAGGTCGGAGACCGCCACCCTCTGGCGGGCGCTGGGTGGCCTCCCGGGCCGCAGGGCTAAGAGCCGGGGACTCCTGCCCCGCACCGCCGCTGCGGTGGCCGCCGTCAGATCGGGGCTGGGGAGCCCTGGGGCCGGTAGGGGGCCTGCCCGCAGCCGTCCGGGAGACGCGGGCCAGGGGAGGGGGTCAAGCGCGACGCCCGCATCGCCCCCTGAGCCGAGCGGGAGATCGCTGCTAACAAGTGAAAACTTTAGGGGGCCCCTGGGAAGCCAGGGGAGGACCCGCACGCGCGCCCCACTCAGCCCCCGGCCCGGGTGGGCTTCGCCGCTGCTGGTCCAGGCGCCCGAGCATCCCCCTGGCGCGGCGCCTGCCAGATGGCGGGGCGCCTCACCGCCCCCCTGCACTCCGCTCCAAGTTAATGCTGAGGCTAAATCCTCTTGCCATCACTCACGGTCACCATCGGGGCTTTTATCTCCCGGTCTGATCCGGGCTGCGTAACTTCCTCTGTGTGGCTTTAACACACCATCCCACCACGGAGCAACGGTCTTCTTAAAGGTGCAGGAAGGAAATACTGCGATGCTCAGGGGAAGAGCCTCGGCCCGGGGAGGGGCGCGGCTTGCAGGGGCGTCCCGGCGGGCCCGTGGCCAGGATGGCCCTAGCAGGCGGCCGCCGGAGTGTGCCTGCTGTTGGGGGTCGCTGCCTACACATCTCCTGGCGGCCCTGGGACCAAGCGGTCCCTGAGCTCGGGGTGCATCCTCAGCGGTCTCGGGTCAGGCACAGTAGAGCCGCATTTCCCTTCTTTCCAACTGTGGGACCTGATTCCGTGCCAGCGCCCAGGGGTGTGGGGGCTGCCCCATCGGCACCAGGGAGGGGGCCAAGTGAGTCAGCCCCCACCCCCACCCCCCACAGCCAGGGCTCTAGGTTGCTGGCTCCTCGGTCTCTGTCTCTTTCTCTCTGTGTGAAGCTCTGCCACCCAGAAGGCCCTGAGCAGTGGGTAAAGGGGTGGGTGGGTGGATTTGGGGAGCTGGGGAGGGGGAGCGCTCTGAGCGCACAACCAAAGCCTGAATACCAGCTGACACATCGCCGCCTCCAGCCTGATGGGCCCTGCTTTTGACGGAGAAGCCAAGCCAGCTCTGCAGGGAGCGCAGAGTAGGGGGGCAAGAGGGCCCTTGCTCAGGAACTCTCTGCCTCCCTGGGGCAGGCTTGGGAGGACCACGTGGGAGGACTCCTGCAGAGGCCGGGCAGAGGCCACTCAGTTGGCAGCGCTAGGGCAGCCCTGTGCTCTCTTCAGCCCCCTGGAGGCTTCCTGCCAGGCTGCCTCCAGGGCTGTAGGAGCGCATCCTGGGCTTCCCAGGGGCGCTTATGGGTCTCTTTAGGTGCTCCTGGTTTCCTTGGGGTGGGTTCTTGCTGTAGCATTCATACAGAGCGATGTCATTTGAATGCATCAAGAACAAAGGGCCTGGGGGGGGGGGGAGAGAGAGAGAGAGAGAGAGAGAGAGAGAGAGAGAGAGAGAGAGAGAGAGAGAGAGAGAGAGAGAGAGACTGGTTCAAGGTCACAGAGGGTGTCAGAAATAGGAGTAAGATAGGCTTGTACCTCAGTGCTCCACCCCACTGTCACCACTCATATCCACTTTAACCCTTCCCTGATCTCAGCAACCCCCCATAAATCTAAAGAGGGCTGTTCTGTTGGCTAATATTTGTAACATCTTGTGACGAAGCAGGCAGAAGATGCAGAATTAGAGATTATCATCGGTAATAACAATAACGATGATAATAATATCAAACATTTATTGGACACCTTTCCTGTCAGACTCCATGCAAAGCAGCTTGTGTGTATTGGTCTCTAGTTCTTCCTGAAGCCGTGTGACCACCCTGTTAACAAACTGTCAGCTTGGAGCTTGGCGATCTTAAATAACCTGGCCAAGGTCACACAGCTTAGGAAGACTTGGTCTTGAGAGGTAGATCTCAGGCTCTTAATTGGTGTTCGGCCACTGGCTGACTTGATGGTTAAGTTGTAGTATGGCACAAGTCACTTCACAGCCTCAGTTTCCCCATCTGTCAAGTGTGAGTGGCAAGACCTTCGTTTTCCGAGTGTCTACTTGAGCATGTCCTCAGGTTTCAGAGGAGGGCCACCCCACCAAGCTGTCCTAGAAAGCAGGACAACGCTCCCCTCCCCAGCACACATCAACTCCCTGCCTGGCCTCAGTGTCTCCAGCTGGAGGAAACTCCTTGGAGGGAGAAGGCAGATCACAGCCTCTTTCTTGGTTTGTAAGCATTTGTGCCTCAGGCAGCGGCGAAGGGCACACTGTGGGGCTTCTGCCCAGAGTGAATGATGACCCAGTGGGCCTTTGGCCTGCTGTCACCCCCAGGCAGGGCCATCCATCCGCAGCAGTGCCCTGCTGCTCCACGATACAATGACTGGACATTGTCAGGATCAGCCAACAAGACTTGCGGGAGGATGCTTCTAATGCCCAGTTCCTCTGAGCACCCTCGGCTGGTCCTGCCAGTGACACATGCAGGCAAAGATTCTGCCACTAAAATTATAGCACAGTGGAAGTCAAAGTGAGCACAATTGAGATCATGGATTTTCTTGGCTCCCTGCCTAACTCCCCGGTGCATGCCTTTGGGGAGAAATCTTCCTTGCACTTAGCCTCAGTTTCCCCATCTGTGTGAAAAAGGATTGGTCTCGGAGTGCAGTCCCTGCTCTGACATCCTGAACTGGCCACCTTCCATAGCAACCTCCAGGGGAAGGCATTCCTTTCAAAGGATAATAGAGTGCCCAGGAATGAATAGGATTCCAGCCATGTAGGGACCAGGTGGCCTGGCCTTGTTCATTTCTAAACTGCATTAAGGTACTTTCTGACAAATGGCCTTTCACTGGCAGAGAACGCAGCTGAGCACCAGGGGCAGAAAAGTGTTAATGAATGCCCCCACCAGAATCATCAATGGCTCCCCTCTCTCCAGAGGCCTAATCACCTTCATTGGTGGGACTTTGCCGTCACTGGGCTGCTGCGATTTGAATCCTGGATATGAAAATCTGTTATCGAAAAGCATTGCAGAATAATGTAGAGATATTATGGCACCTGCCTTTATTTTTTAAAAAAAGATTTGTGTCTAAGCCTATATGTGTGTGCATATGTTTATGTCACACACATAGAGAGAAACTAAACAAAGACCCCGAAGACATATATCAGCCTATCAGCCCATAAACGGGGGAGATGGGGAAAATGACATGCTTTGTTACAGATATTTCCCAGTGTCTTCCAAATTCTTTGCAATCAGGAAGTAAATAAAGGGTCAAGGAGTAACAGGAAATTATAAAGTTACATGGGAAAATAAGATCCTAGCTCTGCAGTGAGAGGTGACAGATGAGGTCCTGCCCTCTGGGGATCTCGGAGAGAAGACAAGTCCCAACACAGACAGAGAGAAGGAGGGACAGATCAAAGGAACTCCTACCACCCAAGGAAGCCAACCACAAGCTTAGAAGCTGCCCTGTCCATGTTCTGGCCACGCCTACAGTCACTGCATTCTGTGTGCCAAACCAAAATTTGGATTCTTCAAGAAATCCTTTGTCCCTTTGACCTTGAACAGTTGAGATATAGATGTGAATTGGTGGCAGCTGCCTGGAACCCAGTCAGGACCATTTAGGGGTTTCGAGACATCCCAGAGTCTCCTGCTTCTGCAGCTCAGGTTGGTGCAAGAGAAGGAAGAACACCACTCACTCCCAGGGCATTCCCCCAGGTGATGCCTCCAGACAGCAGCAGCAGCAACTGCAAGAAGCATTCAGCTCCTCCCTGCCCCTTCTCAGCTCTAATCTCTAGATCATACTCCCATTAATTATTATTACCGTATTAATCATACATGTGATTAATTCAGTAATGGTGATTCATAATTGATTGCATTTTATATGGCGCCTTTCATCCACACATCTCCCAAGATGTGCACAGCCTACAACAAGGCTCACATAGAGCAGGACGTGTTCTTAGCTCATCTGCATTTTGTTGAATAAACTTCTCTTTACAGAGGCAGAGGGCTAATAGTCTTTGCACAGATTGGGCTTGCCCGCCAGCCCTACTCCTTGCCCATTTCCCTGAGCAATAGTGCCCTGCCTTGCCTGGTGTTGCCTGAGTCCTGTAGATTGTAGTCCTATGACAGGCAAGTCTGTCTGAGTCCCCAGATGTTGGGCCAGACACCAGCCTTCCTCTACAGAAGGCAATGCTACAAAGCAACTCTGGATCAAGGGCTCTAGAACTAGGCTTTCTGCTAAGGAGCTGTGTAACCTTGAGCAAGCTGCTTTTTTCCTACCTAAATTTGTCTAAATTACAATGGCATTAAAAATAGTCTCTCTCTCTTTGGACAACTAAAACCAGTTAAACACCTAGAACCTGCTGTATAGGAACCTTACATTTGTGGTATATCTATAACCAGACTTCTCATTCTTTTTCTGGGCCTCAGTTTTCCCAACTTTAAGATGGGGTGATGGGTTCAGAGAGATGGCTCAGCAGTTGAGAGAGTGTATTGCTCTAACAGAAGACTTGAGTTTGGCTCCCAGCCACCTATTTTAGGCAGCTCACAATCACCTGTAACTCCAGTTCCAGGGGAATCCAATGTCGTTTTCTGTCCTCTGCAGGAACCTGCGCGTGCGCGCGCACACACACACACACACACACACACACACACACGAAAATAAAATTATAAAACGGAATGGTGGGCCCACTTCAGGAATTCTTCTGAGATCTGAAATGAACACTGACAACAGAGCAATTGGGGTTTTGAGAACTCAAGAATTAGGTACCCTGGGTTAACAATCCTGTTTGCTATTTCCTGGTTCTGTGACCTTGAGCCAAGGACACATCTTGCCTAGTCTCAGGCGTCCAAAGACGTGAGCTTGGTGTAAGGATTTAGGAAGAAAATACTTGAAACCGTTTGGCTTCTAAAAAGTGATTGGCATGGACTGGCACCTGCCACTTTTCACCCAGGTAGACACATGATAGTTTCTTGATGGTCTCCTGTCTCTACCCTCTGCCGCTATGGAGGAGAGACCAGCATTCTCCCCTCTGTCTAGGTGAGAGAGCCGAGGTTAAAGACTCAGTCCTTGGTTCTTCAGTCAGGGAAGGACCCCACTGGAAGCCTGGGTTCACAGATACTTGTCCCTGCATTTATTATTCTAGTACTTTCTTCTCAGTAACTTGGGGAGGAAGCTTGCATGGTGGCCACACTAGGTTGCACCTCAAAAGGCTTCTCTCTGTAGGCAATTCTGGGCTCCTAGCTGAGCACTTACTGTGTGTGGCATCCTGCTGGGTCCCAGAGATGACAGAACCATAGTTTAGTGAGCCGACCCATGCTATCCACTTAGCAGTCCAAGGGTGACTAAGCATCTACTATGTGCCAGACAAAGGCCAGTCTAGAAAGGAGGCTAGTGTGTG